TTGCTGCGGATTCTTTCCCCCGTGGCTGTTACCGTTTCCGCCGCGGCTCCCCTCCCCCCCCCCCCCCCCCTCCCTCCCCCTCTCCCCCCCCTCTCCCCCCCCCCCCCCCCCCCTTGCCTTCATACAGTTCCAATTTGTAAATTCATACCTAAGTCTTTTCTACATTGGATTCTACCTCAAGGACATGGAACGTCTCAAAGAGGTACGGCGTTTGCAGGCCCCGTGGGGCAATTCTGTCCAGAGCGCGGGGAAATGTGGCAGAGTGGGGGCTGTGTGCGAAGGAGCCCCCATGGGCGAAGCCACGCCCAGGACACTCTTAGTGGTAGCCACGCCGCACACGGTAACAGCCACGGAGGACAGATTCCGCCTTGGAGAGCTGCACAATCAGCAGGGCAGTGTATCCACGCTGATTGTGCTGTCCTCTCTGACCTGTTTTGGGGTTCAGCTCCACGGAGAGCTCCTTTCCAGCTCGGCCCGGAGTTGCCACGCTGCCGCCCCACACACTCGGGGCCCCCAGCCTCCCTCGGCCCCGCCAATCCTGTGCAGCCCTTCTCCATTTGGCTGGGATGCGCCAGGAGGGGCACGCAACACGGCCGCCATTTTGTCCCCACGTCGATTTCATCCTTCCTTAATTTGAGTTGGTTTTAATTTTTCATGCTGCGTCTTTCCATCTCTCTGTGTGTGTTGTGTGTCTCTCCGGCTGTGTGTGCCGCCCTCCGCAGCACCTGCTGGTCTTTTCTCTCTTCCAAAGCCTTGTGCGTCAGTTCAAAGACGCCGTCCTTCCTTCCATCACCCTCCACCTCCACCTCCTCCTCATCTCCCTTAAGGGCTTGCTGAGTTTCGGCTGGCAACTGAGCGTCTCCAAAGTATGCGCTGGGGGGCACGTGGCACTGCCGGGGGGGCGGGCACTGCTGCACAGGACAGTTCTGGGCAAAGGGACTGAACGCAGCTGGGAAATCTGGCTTTTCTGCCCCAACTTGCACTCTGAGTCCCACACCTGTGGCTGGATTTCCCGGTTCAAACAACGATGCCCGACGTGGCAAAAATAAATTTGAGCATCAGTACCAGGCAGAAGGGTCAGCTGCATGTTGATTAACACTATGGTACTCAGAATATGCGTTGGAACTGATATCCAGGGGGTGGGAAACAGTTGAACCAAACTGGGGGTGGGGTCGGGGGAAGGATCCGCAGGTCAAGATTAAGGACAAAAAGGTGGAATGTGAGAGGGTGTGTGTGTGTGTGTGTGTGTGTGTGTGTGTGTGTGTGTGTGTTTAAAACTTTTGTAGATCGTTCCATTACCGAAGTCTCAGGATGGTTTAACAGTAAAATGTAAAAGAAGAAAAGTTAATTAATACACAGCACCCTAAAATTTTGTCTACCCAGCAATTTCCCACATTCTTGGCCTGTTTCTCGGAAATGTTTTTATTTCTTGTTTTCGCCAAAGGTGAGGTGACTTGACGGTCTGTTTCAGTCTCACCAAACCTGGTGTACTACAGCTCCCAGGTTCCCCCAGCCAGTGTGGCCCATGGCCAGGAACACAGGGAGCTGTAGTCCCAAAGAGGGGTGGAGCGGGTGGTGCTCTCCCGATCCTTCGGACTTCAGCCCCCAGCATTCCTTGCCCTTGCCCATGCCGCAGAGGCTCCTGGGAGCTGAAGGCCAAGACCTTTGGAGAGCCTAAAAGTCTCAAGGACACCAGATTCCCCCTCGATTTTCTGCCATGCAGAAATTAATTGTGGCACCCAGCACTCGGTCCATGTTCAGAAACAGCCGCTTTGCCCAGCCCGTCCTTCCGTGCTACATATTTAAAATATTTAAGTGGGGAGGGGAAGATGGCAGAGGCGCTGCAGCATCGTGAGCGCCATGGCCCGCTGTGCCCGCCCCCCATCCGTGCGGGAGGGCTGCTTCGGGGCCGTTAAGGGCAGAGGGGCCTGCGGGGAGGGGTCCCGAGGCGGCCTTCTGACGGGTGCCTCCCCCCCAGATGCTCGCCACCCTCCTCATCACGCGCCAGTTCCTGCAGAACGTCAAGGAGGTCTCACAGCCCCACCTGTACAGCAAGTTCAAGCGCGGCGACCTGAGCGTGCAGAACCTGCGGAGCGTGGCCCACACGCTGCTCCGGCTGCTGACCCAGAAGTACTCGGCCGCCAAGGGTCACGGCGGCCACGAGCCCCGGCTGCGCCGGCCAGGCGGCCCGCCGGCGGGCTACGAGCCGGCCCCGGCAGAGGCACGCAAGGGGGAGAAGTGCCTCAACGGAGGCTGCGGGGTGCCGGAGGAGGAGGAGGAGGAGCGGAGGGACTCCGAGGACGAGGGCGCCATCGACTGCGGGCTGAAGCTGAAGAAGGTGAGCTTCATCGAGAAGGGCGGCCACAAGCCGGGCGAGCTCAGCCTGGAGGAGGTGAGCTTCCTGGAGGAGGGCAGCCCCACCATGGTGGAGAAGGGGGCGGACCCCACCTCCGTCTTCGAGCTGTGCGAGGATGACGATGAGGGCGAGGGGGCCCCTGGGAGCCCCCTCAAGGGGCCGCCGGAGGCCAAGGACCCTGCCGTGGTCCTGCGTGCCCGGCGGCCGAGGGCCAGCAGGAACCCCGTGGAGGGCGAGGAGGAGGAGGAGGAAGAGGAGGAGGAGGAGGACCAGAAGGCCTCGAGGAGCTCCTGGATCGACCCGCCGGAGGAGAACTACACCACGCACCTCGCCCAGGCCGAGGTGGAGAGTTGCATGAAGAAATACGAGGTGAGGCCCGGCCGGGGGCCGTCGGTGCGCTTCTCGGCGAAACGGGCCATCCGAGTCCCGTGGCGCTGGTGGGCGAGCCCCAAACGGCCTGTGGAAAGAGCCCGTGGCTTGTGGCTGCAAGTGGAGGGTTGCTCCCCCCAGCTCGTTCCCTCCGCTGCGTTCAGGCACTCTGAAGATCCGCGGTTCGGAAACAACCCACAGCCAGCCCGTGCCGAGCCGCGTGTGACGGCTGCCGCGTTGTCCAAACCCAGACGTGGGGGGGCAGTGGGGAGGGTGGCCGAGCCGCCTGGGAGCACCCCCTCCTCGCTCACGCGCATGCGGTCCTCCCCGCCCAGGACACCTTCCAGGACTACCAGGAGATGTTCATCCAGTTCGGGTACGTGGTGCTCTTCTCCTCGGCCTTCCCGCTGGCCGCGCTGTGTGCCCTGATCAACAACGTCATCGAGATCCGGAGCGACGCCTTCAAGCTGTGCACGGGGCTCCAGCGCCCCTTTGGCCAGCGGGTGGAGAGCATCGGGGAGTGGCAGGTAAGCAGCCGGAGCGTGCCCCCCGCCCCTTGCTCTCCCATCCCACCCCCAGGGCTGGTCTGGGGCTGGCGGGACAGAGGCGCCCTCCTGGGGCGGGCAGCATTCCGGGATTTTGGCTCCCTCTCCAGGCAGCCACGCTCTGGCGGGGCATGGAGTCCCCCGTCTGCATCGCCGTGCTCTGGGGCATCACCAGGTGCCCTCTGGCACCGCCCAAAATACAGGTCCAAGGGCCCACGTACCTCTGCTGCATCAGGCTCCCCTGGACTCGCCCACAGGAGCTTCTCATCTGATGCCCCCAATCCCTCTTGAGCCGAACGCCCCCCAGCCGTTCCCACGGCCATCAGGGTGCCTTCAAGAGGCAGACACATGGAGAGAGACTCTCTCTAGAGCCGGGGCCTCAAACGCACCTTACCTGGGGGCCGCTGGAAGTAGAGTCTGGGTGAGGCTGGGCCGCATCAAGTGGTGGTGGTGGGCCGCTCTTCCGGAGGCCGGCCCAGGCACCGCTGGCGCTTGGAAGGCCGCAGGGCCCCTCCCCCGTGCCCTGCCCGGCCCGGCAAGTGGCCCGCGGGCCGCGAGTTTGACACCCCTGCTCTAGAGCAAGGAACATTCCTGCTTTTCCTCTTTGGGTCTCTGGTGTTGCCCCAGAGCTCCAAGCTGGAAATGGGGTGGGGGATCCAGAGGAAACCGGCGCCAGGTGTCCTTCTCCTTGCAGCTGTTCTTCCCTGTTTTCTGGAAGCTCTCCAGCCGGCCCCACGGAGAGCTGCTAGAAAGGGCGGAATAAACGCAGGACCAGGAAGGAGCGCCACAGCGGATGAGCCCCGGTTGTGACCCAGGGCAGAAGGCGAAATCTGCTCAGAGGAGCTCCGAAAGGGCTTTGCGCCACTGCCCTTGGCCTCCTCCACGGCACGTGAGCCCAGCGCTGGCCTCGTCTGGTGCTCGATGCTTGCTGCAAGAGCCGCACTCTGCATTTTGAGACACAGACAGACAGAGAGCTGAGGCCTCTGGCGGGAGAGCCCCTTCCCCCCCCCCCCCCGCCCCGGCGATCCGAGGCTGCATTTTCTGTTTCCAGTTGCGTTGGGCTGCTGTGAAGTGCCCAGGCGGCTTCGGCGATGGGGCAGTATAAAAATGGGGGAGGATGCGCATCACTTTTCTGCTGAAGCGTCTGTGTTTTCCGCCCACAGAAGGTGATGGAGGCGATGGGGGTGCTCGCCATCGTGGTGAATTGCTACCTGATCGGCCAGTGCGGACAGCTCCAGCGCCTTTTCCCGTGGCTGAGCCCCGAAGGGGCTGTAATATCTGTCGTGGTTTTGGAGGTATGGCTTTCGCAAGTGCCCGCCCCCCACCGCTCGCTGCTCCTCGGATTGGGGCCCCGGAACCCACAGCCACGTGCTGGCTTACTGCTCCTTCATTTGCCCCGACCACTTCCATGCTTCAAAGAAGCCAGGCGCCTTGCAACCCTCTCTGAGCCATTCCCACAACTACCCTGTGAGGTGGTCCAGGCTAAGACAGGGATTGCCCCCAGGTCACCCGCCGAGCCTCCTGGCTGGGTGAGGACTGGCACCGGAGCCTCCTCCGGCCCCGTTGGCGCTGTAACCGCTGCACCACACCGGACTGAGTACAGGTTGTCGTTGCAATGTGGACGATTGTGTGGTCTGAACCCAGCCAAGATAACAAACGGACAGTTCATAATAAGAGAACAGACGACCAGTTTTCCTCCTGGGTTATGCATGGTTAACAAGCCATGGCTGGTGCCACTGGGTACAGACAGCACCAAAAGCCACAATTGAGAGCTGAGCACGGGTTCATAAAATGTGGGTAATCCTTGTCTGAATGCAGCCGCACCAGCAAACATGCTTGGTTAAAAATACAATTCCCAAGTTTGTGCCAACCACAAGCCCAGGTTTGGTGGCATGGCTGGCTTCAAACCTCCCAGTCGCTCAGCATCTGACCACAGTGCCCAGTTTAGTGACAGTCCACTCTCAGGGTTATCGAGGATTTCCCATTTAATATACTGGTTTTCATGCTTCGCTAAAATATTTCTGAAGCAGCTGTTATGTACTACATATCCAGAAGGCAGAGAATGGTGATGTTATGGAATACACATTCCTAGCAAAAACAAGGCACAATTCATGTAACAAATTGTTGTTGTTAGTGGTGAAGTCATGTCCAACCCATCGTGACCCCATGGACAGCATTCCTCCAGGACCTCCTGTCCCTCACCATCCCCCAGAGTCCACCCAAGCTCACCCCCACTGCCCCAGTGACCCCATCCACCCACCTCCTCCTCTGCCGTCCCCTTCTCCTTTTGCTGTTAATCATTCCCAGCATCAGGTTCTTCTCCAGGGAGTCCTTCCTTCTCATTAGGTGGCCAGAGTATTTGAGTTTCATCTTCAGAATCTGGCCTTCTAAAGAGCAGCCAGGGTTGATCTCCTCCAGGACTGACGGGTTTGATTGCCTTGCGGTCCAAGGGACTTGCAGAGTCTCCTCCCGCACCACAATTCAAAGGCCTCAACCCTTTGGCGCTCAGCCTTCCTTATGGTCCAGCTTTCACAGCCATGCATTGCAACTGGGAAAACCATAGCCTTGACTGTACGCACTTTTGTTGGCAGGGTGATGTCTCTGCTTTTTAGTATGCTGCCTAGATTTGCCATAGCTTTCCTCCCAAGCAGCAAGTGTCTTTTAATTTCTTGGCTGCAGTCCCTGTCTGCGGTGATCTTGGAGCCCAGGAAAATAAAATCTGTCACTACCTCCATTTCTTCCCCATCTATTTGCCAGGAAGTGAGAGGACTGGATGCCATGATCCTAGTTTTCTTAATGCTGAGTTTCAAGCCAACTTTTGCACTCCCCTCCTTCACCCACATCAAGAGGCTCTTCAGTTCACTTTCTGCCATTAGAGTGATATTATCTGCATATCTGAGGTTGTTGATATTTCTCCCAGCAATCTTAATTCCAGCTGGTGATTCATCCAGCCCCTCTCTCATGATGTGCTCTGCATATAAGTTAAATAGGCAGGGCAACAGTATACAGCCTTGCCAAACTCCTTTCTCAATTTTGAAACAATCAGTGGTTCCGTGTCCGGTTCTTGGTGTTGCTTCTTGACCGGCATATAGGTTTCTCAAGAGACAAATAAGATGGTCTGGTACTCCCTTGTCTTTAAGAACTGGCTACAACTTGTTATGATCCACACAATCAAAGGCGTTAGCGTAGTCAATGAAGCAGAAGTAGATGTTTTTCTGGAACTCCCTGGCTTTCTCCATGATCCAGCATATGTTGGCAATTTGACCTCTAGTTCCTCTGCCTCTTTGAAACCCTGCCTGTGCTTCTGGTAGTTCTTGGTCCACATACCGCTGGAGCCCAGCTTGTCGGATTTTAGGCATAACTTTGCTAGCATGTGGAATGAGTGCAATGGTGCGGTAGTTCGAACATTCTTTGGCACTGCCCTTCTTTGGGATGGGAATGTAATCTGACCTTTTCCAATCCTGTGGCCTCTCTTGAGTTTTCCAGTGTAGCACTTTTACTGCATCGTCTTTTAGGATTTTGAATAGCTCAGCTGGAATACTGTCTCCTCACTAGCTTTGTTGTTGCTCAGACTTCCTAAGGCCCATTGGACTTCACCTTCCAGGATGTCTGGCTCGAGGTCAGTGACCACCCCATCGTGGCTCTCAGGGACGATAAGGTCTTCCTTGTATAGTCTCCAGTTTTCTTGAAGAGTTCTCTGTCTTTCCCTGTTCTGTTGTTTCCTTCTATTTCTTTGCACTGTTCATTTAAGAAGGCCTTCTTATCTCTTCTGGCTATTCGCTGGAATTCTGCATTCAGTTGTTTGTATCTTTCTCTTTCTCCCTTGCCTTTCGCTCCCCTTCTTTCCTCAGCTATTTGTAAAGCTTCCTCAGACAGCCATTTTGCTTTCTTGCATTTCTTTTTCTTTGGGATGGTTTAAGGTGCTGCCTCTTGTACAGTGTTGTGAACCTCCATCCATAGTTCTTCAGGCACTCTGTCTATCAGATCTAATTCCTTAAATCTATTTGTCACCTCAACTGTATATTCATCAGGGATATGATTTAGGTCATACCTGAGTCGCCTAGTGCTTTCCCCTACTTTCTTCAATTTCAGCCTAAATTTTGCAACCAGAAGCTCATGATCTGAGCCACAGTCAGCTTCTGGTCTAGTTTTTACTGACTGTATAGAGCTTCTCCATCTTTGGCTGCAGAGCACATAGACAATCTGATTTCAGTGTTGACCGTATGGTGTAGAGCCGTTTCTTGGGTTGTTGGAAAAGAGTGTTTGTTATGACCATCGTATTCTCTTGACAAAATTCAACCAGCCTGTGCCCTGCTTCATTTTGTACGCCAAGGCCAAACATGCCTGTTATTCCAGTTATCTTTTGGCTTCCTACTTTAGCATTCCAATCCCTCTTGATGATAAGGATATCATTTTTTAGTTTTAATTCTAGAAGGCGTTGTAGGCCTTCATAGAACTGGTCAACTTCAGCCTCTTCAGCACCAGTGGTTGGGGCACAGACTTGGACTCCTGTGATGCTGAATGGTTTGCCTTGGATTCGAACCGAGATCATTCTGCCATTTTGGAGATTGTATCCCAATACTGCTTTTCCTACTCTTTTCTTGACTGTGAAGGCTGCTCCATTTCTTCTGAGGGATACCTGATGGTCATCTGAATTAAATTCACCCCTTCCTGTCCATTTTAGTTCGCTGATTCCCAAGATGTCGATGTTCAGTCTTGTCATCTCTTGTTTGACCATGTCCAGCTTGCCTTGATTCATGGATCTTGCATTCCAGGTTCCCATGGAGTATAGATCTTAGCAGTATCGGACTCTCCTTTCACCACCAGACACATCCAGAGCTGAGTGTCCTCTCGGCTTTGACCCAGTTGCTTCGCTCTTCCTGGTGCTACCAGTACTAGCACTCTGCTCTGCCCCAGGAGCACATTGGACACCTTCCGACCTGAGGGGCTCATCTTCCAGCCTCATATCTCTGCCTTTTGGCACTGTCCGTGGGGTTTTCATGGCAAGGGGACAGGAGCGGGCTGCCATTTCCTTCTCCAGTGGATCACGTTTTGTCAGAGCTCTCTGCTGTGACCTGTCTGCCTTGGGTGCCCCTGCACGAATTAGCTCATCGCTTCATTGTGCTACACTAGCCCCTTCGCCACGGCAAGGCAGTGATCTATGACGGGAGGTTTGGGCTTAGAGGGTGTTAAACAGCACATTGTTAAACAGTGGAACTCACTTCCACAAAATGACGTGATGGCCACCAGATTGGCTGACTTTAAAGGGGGAAGTTCCTGGAGAGAGGAGGAGGGCGCTGTCCGTGGGTGCTAGTCCTCATGGCTCTGAGCAAAGTCAGTATGTCTGTGTGTGCCCGTTGCTGGGGTACGTGGCCGGGAGGGTGCTTCTGCACTCCTGGTCTACTGGTGGGTTTCCAACAGGTGGCTGGTCAGCCGCCAGGCGACCAGAACGCTGGATGGGATGAACGCCAGCTCTGGGCTCTCATGACACACTTCACGCCTCCCTTTTCCCCGCAGCATTTTGCCCTTTTGCTCAAATACATCATCCAAGTGGCAGTGCCCGACATCCCGGCCTGGGTGGCGGAGGAGATGGCCAAACTCGAGTACCAGCGGCGGGAGGCCTTCAAGGTGAGCCTCGCAGGGCCACGCTCGGCCTGCTGACCGAGCCAGCCTGGCGGCTTCGGCCCTTTGGCTGCCATGGCCCTCCTGGCTGTGGCTGATGGGACTTTTGGCCCGAAACATCAGGCATTCAGTCAGGAAAGGCTGAAGGGGCCATACTGGGACCTCCTTCGGGGTGTGTGTCGGGCCTTGTTGCATGCTGGTCAGGCCTACCCTACAGGGTTGGTGTACAGCTTGCCCCAAACATGAGGTGTGTATGCTCCTAAGACACTGTGTCAATGGAAGAGGTTGCTGTACCCCTTATTCCATCTTTTGGGGGCATCTTGTTTGCCCACAAACCTTTCTTGGCCGACAGCCTCAGCTGCTCTGTCACATGGGAACAAATGTGAAAATAATGCCTCCAGCAAGAAACAAGAAAAATGCTCCATCACAGCTCCTCAAACATTGTATTAAAAAGAACCCCCAGGTTAGGTCCATAAAATGTATAAACGTCTGCAGCAGGTGAAGGATAAAAGGAAGTCCAGAACAGGACACCGGGGCGTGGGTTGGGGTGCTGTCCCTGCTGCAGTACCATCCATGTTTTGGCCGGCACGGGCCAGGAGAGGGCAGGGTCCTGGCCCTGAGACATTCGTCACCGAATGTTATTGCCGTCAGCCTTCCACACTGTTCTTTTTAGCAGGGCCACAGTGACATTTTGGCTTGCGTGTGGCACTGAGACCCCGCAGGCCCAGCTTTGAGCCTCCGTGCGGCCTTGAAGCTTTTTTAGGAGGCTCTGGGCCGGTCCCTGACCCTCACCCAGCCTTGCCTGCCTTGAACAGCTATAAGGTGAAAACCGAGAGGGACGGAACAGATAATCCACCTTAAAAAAATTGAAAAACAGGAGTTAAATGCGATGGCAATTAGTCTTCACTGCTCCACGTTGCCATGGCTTCCCGGATTTATGGAGACCTTGCTCAGGTCATGTCAAACCAAGGTGAGGCCTTCTTGGTGGGGGTGATCCGGCCGGCCTTCCTCCTCCTTTGTCTTCGGCTCGCCCCCGTTTGTTCCGTACCTCTCCAGGCTGACTCAGAAGGCACATGTCTGGGTGGATTTAAGAAGCTAAATTGCCCATTTATAGCAGGATTTGAAACGTGAAATAAAATGCAGTCTTTCAGAGAGTGAAACTTAGCCTAAGGTGAAGATGTATGCAAGAAAGATGGTCGCAGGCCTCCCACGAGGTCTCTGGCGTGCCTGGGCGGGAGGGCAGGTTCATTCGCACCCCCCAAGCCTCAAGTGGGGAGGAAGGGAGGGAGGGAGGGGGGCTGCCCCAAAGAGAGCCCCCCAAGATAAGGGCGGGAGGAGCCGCAGGCCCCAAAGCACGCACCCAGGGCGCCTCGGGGGCAGGCCTGGCCCTGCCCGGGGTGGCGGGCCCCGGGGTGGCCGCGCGGGGCAGGGGGTGACGCTCCACTCTGCCCCCCCAGAAGCATGAGCGGCAGGCCCAGCTCCGCTTCCAGCAGCAGCAGCGCCGCAAGCGGGAGGAGGAGGAGCGCCAGCGCCACGCCGAGTACCACGCCCGCAAGGAGCGCGAGGCCGGCCGCGAGGAAGGCAAGCCGGAGGCCGGGGGGGCGGAGGCCGGCCCCGAGAAGAGCCAGGGCAAGGGCAAGGGCGCGGGCCACGGGCCCGAGAAGCCCAAGCGGCCCAGCTCGCTCCTGGCCACCAACAACGTCATCAAGCTGAAGCAGATCATTCCCCTGCAGGGGAAGTTCCTCTCGGGGGGCACGGGCGGCACGGGGACGGCCCGCTCCCCGCAGTCCCCCACCAGCACGGACAACAAGCTGCCCGGCTTCCTGAGCTTCAAGTTCCTGAAGTCCCCGGAGACGAAGCGGGAGCCCCCCCCCGAGAAGGTGCAGTCCCCCACCAAGCCGTTCAACCCCAGCAAACTGTTCCACTTCAGCAAGTCGGAGGGTGGCGCCGCGATCCTGGCGCAGCCCCGGGCCGGCCCCTCGGCGGAGGCGGGCGAGCGGCCCCCGTCCGGCAGGTCCCACCTCAACGGGCTGCCGGACGAGGAGGCGCCCGAGGAGCCGGAGATCCGACCGGTGGAGGAGGAGGACGGGGGGGCGAGCCACAAGCTCTGACCCCCCGCGTGGGGGCGAGGCCGCGGGCGGGGGGGCCGAAGGAGCGGTGAGTGGCCGGTCGGTTCTTCAAGCAGAACTGGGGAGCCCTGCGGTCCTTTCGGGGCGTCTGGCCGGCCCTGAAACCCCTGGGCACCTTCAGAGCAGGGCTTGTTGGAAAGGCAGGAGCCTGGCAGGGGCGTCCCCGGGACCGTCGGTCCTGGCAGGGCCGGCCCTGCCGTGGGGCAAGGGGGGCGGGCCTCGGGCGGCAGACCGCCGCTTCCGCCTTCTGGGAAGGGCTCCTTCGGCCCCTGCACGTGGCCGCGGAGGCGCCTGGGCCCGCCTTGAGTCTTGGCCTTTCAGTCCCACCATTCGAGCAAGATGTCCATCCCGCAAACGAAGGGCTTTCCGTGCATCCATGTTTGTGCCTCTTTCAGGGGCCAGGAACCTTGTGCCCCCCCCGCACCCCGAAGTCCCCTTGGACATTTTGCCATTAGACCCTCGCCAGGGGGGCCTTCCCTGAATGGTGTTCGCAGGAATTTCTGCTGGGATCAGAACTCGCGTGTTGATGGTGCTGCCGGCCACCCAACCCAGCCATGATTTGGAACAGGGGAAATCCTAGCTTCTGTTTATTTTCAGAATCGTGCAATGCCATTCTAATTGGATACCTGTTGCCAAGAATCCCAGCTATGGATACTTCTCAAACCCTTTATTTAATAACAAAAATATTGCATTTGGCAAATTTAAGACTTTAAGACTATTGCCTTAAGCAAAGAGAGATTCTCTACATTTCTCCCAGTCTCGACTGTTAGCTCCGTAGAACACGCTCAAGCATTTTGGAAAACTCACATCTGAAATTTACCTATTCTTATATTTCAGAATGTAAGAATAGACTTATATGTAGGTCTTCTCCCCAACCTATTTCCCTCCCATCCCATCCCGCTTCCTGGCTAAATTCTGGCTAAACTCTTCATCCAAAAGAAGTCCCACATTCATGATTTCCTTAAGAATTTCTAGTTAAGAGTGTACAAAAGCAAGCCCCCCTTTGAGCATGTCACTAGACCCCACTGAAATGCTTATGCTTTCACTCCAAAGTTTCCCCCCTATTTCCTGTCGAGAAGCCCCCAATATGTCTTAAAGCAAATTTTGTTGACTGCAGTGTTCCACCAGCTGCAAGATCTTTCTTCAGGAGCACCAGACTCGATAAAAGGAGATGAAAAGGCCAATATTTTTCTTGTTTATCTCGTTCTGCCAAAATCAGGACTGTCGTGTTGATTAAGCTCCCCTTTTCTGCTTGAAAAACAGTTCTGTAGCACAGCGGTGGAGTCTGGGGTGGGGAACTGAGCCAAGATCCATGCATCACTGACATTTCTTGCACTAAACAGAATAGCAGGGGGTTTGTGTCATGGCTGATGGCACAAAGACCCAAAAGCCACTGCAACTCATGCTCAGCAACATGGGCTGCGGTGAGCAAAACTCTGGGCTCTGGAAAGAACAGTCTTTCTCTTGCGGTTAACATTTTCAGTAGCTTGGAAAACAAACGCTGAAGGGCAGGCGAAGAAATAAGCTCACCTTGTGACTGATGTCTGGAGGACAGTGAGATTTTGCAAAGAATATTTATTCTGCTGTAAGGATCCGGAGTGTGCCGAGGGCGACAGGTTTTGAACCTGCTGCATCGAAAGGAAGGGAAGGATTTGGGGCCAAAAGAGGGAACGTTTCGGGCTTTTTCAGGACGGGTGGGCAGTCGCGGAATCAGCCATCCAATTTGCGCTGTTGTAGGTCACTTGCTGCCATCGACATGAGAGCTTTAGCCATTTGAAATGCGGGGGGCGGGGGTGCTTGTTTGGTTGGCTGCGTTCAGGACTGTTTCGGGTTTATCACTCCGTCACTGAATTTATTCACAACCAGGCTATAGAACGGGGTAAATCTGTCTTTGGCCCGTCAGCAGCTTTTAGGATGCCCGTCTCTTGTAGGGCTTGTGTGGACTGTTTTTATTTCATAGCTTGCCAGGAAATATTAACACCTGATCTCCAGCCTGCGAAATTCTTGCTACTTCGTTTTGCAAACCTGGCAGGGAACTGACGGGGCATCTTCCCCACCCCATCTCATGGACTCTCCATATGGAACGCTGGAAGCATAGAGGACGGTTTCAAGACAGCATCTTGGATTTGGACAGACCCCAAGTGGGATGCTCTTATCTCTTGAAGTGGTCCAGAGGGCCAGTTCTTCCTGGAAAGGAACAGCTGCCGTCCTAAACAGGAAGGGATATGCTCCTGTGGAACGTGGCCGACTGCTGACGCTTTCTCCCCGCAAAAGCAGCTGAAACGGTTCTGTGGGTCGGACACGCTCACCTTGCCGCCCCCAGATCCTCCAAGGAAGAAGGGAGCCTTCCTCGCATCCGGCCCGTGCCGCCCCACTGTCCGGCAGCAGGCCAAGGAACTGGCGGGAAAGGGACGGATTGGCATGCATGCGTCGCCAGACCGCTCGTCCCCACAGCGCCCTCCTTTCTGCTCTCGTGCCATCTCGGAGCTACTTCGCCACAGCAATAACGCCACAGTAGCGGCCCATGAGACGCGGGAGGAGATGCACGGAGTGGGGGGCCGGTGTGGGGGCAGCGGGTCGCTTGGTGCCGGCTGGACTTTCTCTCCACCTTCGCCGGCTGGATAGAGGAGGATCCAGCCATGGGCCAAGCCCTTGTCCAGGAAGGGACGCGCCTCTGGGCAGCTCAGCGGCCACAGTCCCCTTGCTCTGTCCCTTCGCGGCGGGGCTCAGTTGAGGGCCCCTTTAATCCACCTGAGATGGTACCGGGTGCCAGCTGCACGCATATCCAACTAGGACTGCTTCTTCATTGCCTTACCATGGACGGTTTTACCACTCTGGCCCAATATCCATGAACGGCTATCGCAGCCTGCCAAACTGAACCGAGTCCTGCCGAGGGAGTCCAAGGACATGCTTGCACGCAGCAGGAGTGCTCAAGGGTCCGCGAGGGGCTGCTCTCCATCCCCCCAGCCCTGCAGCACTCATGGCAAGAGTCAACCACAGATCCCCTGCTCCCTTGAGTATTTATAGAAGCACTTGTCTGTCCAATGTCTTACTCTCCTGAGCAATTACTGTACAAAAAGAGGAATATTTTTTTTCCTGGGACGGGAGGAGGAAACAAAAAGGGAATATTGTTGTATCTATTTATTAATTTGCCGCATTTTAATTTATTTGACGCAAAACAAGAAAATGAAAAGGGGTAACTCGATTTCTTTTTAAGTTATTTTTGTCATATTTTTGTAAAACTGGCAGAAATGCAATAAAAATATATTTCAACAATTGGGTAACAACATGAGGGGCTGGGGGACCCATCCTCAAAATCCAAACGCTGAAAGTCAAGCATGGCGTAGGAGACAGAACAAATCCCAAAATACACACGTGATCCTGCTCTTTCTGGCCGTACCGGTACAGCTTGCATTCCAAGTGCTGGAGGGCTGCATTCACACATTCTAGTTCTCTAGTAAAAGAAGAGTTTAGGTGACCCGGCTGCAGGAATTAACATGGGTGTAGAGAACTGCGAGGACTTGCTTGAGGTAGCCGGGAGGGGCTGTTAAATTGGCTTGGGGCCAGCCCCAGGGGTTGGGATTAGCCAGTGGGGTGGATCCGACGTTATGGCGCCAACCGCAAGGCACAAATTATTCCCTTTCTTGGTTGGCAAGAGGGTCCTGCTGGCATTTATTCCAGTTATAATCTGCCTTGTTTTCCTCTTGGAGGGAGCCCACATGGCCCTCTTCTGCATCTAATGCCCTGCAAGGTAGGCGAGGCTGAGGGGCAGCCAGCAGGTGCCCAGGCCTGGTGGGGATCGGATGCCGGAGTCCCAGCCCAGCCCTCAAACTGCCCCACCACACTGACTCCGTGCAGGAGGGGACCCGCACCCCCAGGCAGGACAGCCATCCTGCTCATTGGCCCAGAGCCCCCGAGCTGTCCTGTGCTGCTGAGCCCCTTGGACATGTGCTCCGGAAGGCTCCGGGCGCTTGCCCACCGTTTGGACGCGGACACGGTGGTGGGTGCTGCCGGAGAGAACTTCCCCTTGCAACACGCCGGCCTTCAGTCTACTTTTGAGAGAAATAACACTCAGGAGGGCCATGGAGTTGGGGGGCTGGAGACACAACCTATAAGGGACCTCAGTACCCCTGGAAAGGCCTGGCTCTTAAAGGCCGGCAGCACTGGGGCTTGGCAAGACCCCCTCCTCGGCCCGGTCCCTCTCCTCCATCTGGGCTTTACTGGTTATGGTAGCACCTGGTCACCTTCCAGGGCAGGCACATGGATTACTGAGGTCGGCCAGGGAGATGTGCATCTCAGTGGTGCCCCCCATTCTGGACTGGGAGAGCGTGCAGGAATGCGGATGATGGATTCCACACCCTGCCAGGGACTTGGCTGGCCCGTTCTTGTGCAGACCGAGTCCCTTTCTTCATGTCCCACCAGTACCCCAAGAAAGCTGTTGACGGTTGGTGTCCAGGCGTGTCAATCACTGGCCTCGTGTGCTGAGCCTGGTGGAGAGCGACTGGACCCACCAAACGCTCTGGCTGCGTTTAAGTTCCCTTGCAAGTTTAAGGGGTTAACGAAATCATGGAGCTCCGCACGGTGCCCCCCGCTGCACGCCCCCACCAAAAAAAGCCCCGGACAGACTTTAGGACTCGGTAGAGATGGTGAGAAATATTCTTATTTATTCTATTCAAGAAGTTGCACAGAAGTGCTCTGTTCAAAGAGGGGAGCGAGCGAGCGAACAAGACAGACGCAGAGAGTGAGCTGAGATGTGGTTTTACCTCAATCTATGGCCGATGCCCTAGTGGGCTCCCCAGGAAGGACACAAGGGTAGAGGGAGAAAGGCTGAAGTGTGAACGGTGGAAATAAACCCTCCTTGGAAGCGCAGACCACACCTCTGACCAGACCATCAACTCAAGGGGAACCATCACAGATATTTCCTTTCTTTTCAGAAATGGTGCATTAGGGGTACATCTGTGGGAAGCAAATGCCCCCCCACCCACAGTTCCTCAAATTACTTCTTTATTAAGTGTGTAGAAAGATACAACTAGCGAACTCAGTCCTAATCACACGCCAGTAATGCAACGGATGGCATGGGCCTTTCTATCATGGAGAGAGAGAAGTGGGTGGGAAGGGGGGCCACTATTAACATGAGCTGGCCTCCCCCACAGGAAAACAGTTCATGTTAGTAGGAGGTGGGGAAGGTGCAGCCACAAACATGTTTTTTTATTTTCTTTTTTTTAAAAAAAGGCATTGATCACAGTTTAAACATCATTTTTCCTGACTTGCTCCAGCACAGAAGCAAGTGAGTGAACATAAATACTTCCAAAGAAAAATGGAAGAGGAGACCCTCCCCCCCGCGCCTCCCCACTATCACACACAAACAAAATAAATAGATTGGCTCCTACGAAGTCAAAAGTGGTTTGGGCTGCACAGTGGAAAAGAGCAGGGGAGAAAAAGAAAGGAAACTCCAGTGGCTGGTAGTGGGCATTTCTGTGTGTGAATACACGCTGAAAGACCGCCCCCCCCCAAAAAAAAACCCACTCTGGAAGCGCCTGTAAATATTAACACAGAAAACAAGTGAGAGTTTTAAGTGTCCTCATTCATATCTTGGCTGTCTGTCCGGGCGATTTTGCGGGGTGGGGCAGAGTTTTCGCCTTCGAGATCCACTTGTTCCGGGTCTCTCTTCTTTGCAGCATTCTAATGGCAGGGAGAGGAAGATCCATAATTTATTGCCAAGTATCTATGCACCATTTGCATCTACAGATTTCAAAGCAGTGCCTGCAAATCATTAAAAAAAACGCTTGAAATGCGTCAAATTCTGAAAGAAACCAGAGGAGGCCGGGAGCCTTTTGGGGGCGCACACATTAAAATTTTAGGCCCAACACTGGAGACCCCAAATCTGATGGCTTCATGAGGCAGGGGAATGCCATGAGAAACGGGCAAAATGCGGCAGCTCAGCCACGCCTCCCGGCCCACACAAGACAACAAGCGAACTGGGCAAGCTCAGCTTTCCACACACACCCACACACACACACTCTTAGCCAGGCACCTACCTTTTTGTCCCACTGCTGATGTAGGTAACGCAAAAGTATGTTTGTCTTTTCCGTTACAATGACTGTGGAGGGCGAGAAAGAAGAGACATCTCAGGGGAACAGCTGAGCAAAAATTAATTGAACGCACACGGAGATGAAGCAGGAGTGTTCCGGACCTCCCGTGAGCTACTGCGAGCCATAAAACTTGCCCCCACCTTGGGAAGCTGCTCAGTGGCTACACAAGTTGCCCTCTGCCTGCCAGACCGTCTTTACCGCCTAGATAACGGGGGTAAAAAAGGAACGGTGGGAAATACCTCCTCTGCTCCCTTCCGCTCCGGCTGCTTCTATATGGCTGCAGCAGACCGGTTCCGCCTCGGCCAGCAGACAGAGAACAAATTTCGGCCGCAAGCGAGCCAGATCTGTTTTGGGAAGGCCTCCGATGGATTTGCTTTTCTGATTCTGTGAAACCCAGAGGACCAAACCGGGTTCTGCGGAGGGCTGGCTGAGGGCCAGCTTGACCCCAGCTTGGCTTGCCTGCGCATCTACCGCAGCACCGGCAGATGCAAAAAGACAGCCCAGCTGCCGCATCGCGAGAGTTTGCGGTTGTCCCTATGAGTGGAGTTCTGTCCCGGCTTTTGTTCTCTCCAGACAAAGCTGAGGCAACTCACGCAGCCCTCCTTCACCCCGTTTTTATCCTCACAACCACCCGTGGGACAGGCTGGGCTGAGAACTGGGAATGGGCCCAAAGTCTCCTGACAAACTCCAGAGACAAAGGGCAGCTTGGACCCCGTCCCTGAACTCCCTCCCTGGGACTCTCCAGAAGCACTCCAGCACGGTTGTGCTTCAGGCTGCCTGGCTGTCAGCTCCCGGAGACAGTGGACAGGGCGGAGGGATATTTGGGCTTGACTGAGGGATGCCCGGGGCAGCAGGGAAGGCTTTTTCGGCAAAGCAGATTGGGTCAGACCAAAATCATCGTGCATGGACTTTCCTTTGTCACGTTTTCCATCCAGTGAACCCAGAGGGGCTCAAACGGCCCTCCCTGCTCCCAACAGCCCTATAAGGCGGGCCAGGCGGAGAGGCAGTGACCTGGCCAAAGTGTTCCAGTCAGCTGCAGGACCGAGCAGGATAAGCCCCGCACCAAGGCCTTCCTCAATGTGGAGCACACTCCACAGGCGCACAATCACCCACGGAAGGGTAAATGCACTACTCCTACACGTCCCAGGAAGGCGTCCAGAGCAGGATGGGAGCAAAAGAATCTGTGCCGAGCTCTCCAGGGCAGGCCCTCCTTGAACAGCTCGTGGGCCTCCATGCCACAAGGGGGGAGACAGCCCTCCCCACGGCGGTGCTCTCCCCATGAGACGCAGCGATTCTCGCCTCTTTAGCACCGGGTCAAAGCCTCTTTGTTTGCCCAGGCATCTGTACAAACAAACCACTCTTGCCCAGTGCTAAAAATGAAACAGCGGTAAAGCAAACGTAACTAAATTTCCAACTGCCCAGCAAACTAAAGCTTGCTTTAGGCAGGTTTTTTAAAGGAGAACTTTGGGCACTTCACAACCATCAAAGCCATAAAATGTGATAAAATATACAGTTTAAAACTTGGAACTGGCAGCGGAATAAAATAAAAGCCAAAATCAAACTTGGCACTTGTGCCGTGAGCTAGGGATGCCATCCCCAGCAAGACAGACTCTCCCACACTTCTTGTAAGTGCCTTTATTCTACAAAGACGTCTCTGAGCATACACAGAGTGAGATGCTGAACCCTCTTTGCCTCTCTTCTTGCATAAATCTTGCTTATGAACCCTTTGGGGCCTGCCTCTGGGGGGAGGGTGCTGTGGAACTGGGGCACCCCGATGTTCTGCATTCTGAGCCCCTAACTGGCCAGCCTGAGGCTCTGAGAACAGGCCTTTCGGTCCACCTCCTCAGGAGGCTGGAGTCCTCCATCCGAGACACCGCCCATCCCCAAATCTCTCCCTCTAGATGTTGTTATGTTCTTCTTCTTCATTCCTACAGACGGGAGGGCTGGGCCCCATGGCTGTCCTTGAACTAATCTTGTCTTGAGCAGACACAGATGGGTACCGAGAAACCGGGCCGCAGGTGGAGGCTCCTCCATGGAAACAACATTCCGTTATCAGAGTCTGAGTGCTCAGTTTTGTCTGGGTCAGCCAACTCCCCATCATCCTTAGAGGCTCAGCTATCAATCCCACCAAAACAGTCAGTTTCTTGTGCACGCCTGGGCATCTTGCCAGGACGTGTGCGCACAACATGTAAGATTTAAATGAGGACCTTATCTGCCTAGGAGAAAGAAGTGGTCATCAGCAGATGCCAGAAAGATCCATGCCAGCTGACCCTCTCCCAGAAATGTGGCCCTTGGCTTAAACAGACCTATTAATCAAACTGACATGAAGTGTCCGGTTTAAGCTTTTCCCTGAATTGTGATGTTTCATCTCCCTTTCTTCCTGAGTTAAGGAGTTTCTAATTGCAGTTTTCTACACTGCCCTGGCAACATAAGAGGGAAAGTAACATAATAATATTTTAAGACATTTCTCCAGCTGGGAACCATTTGCACATACTCTTGAAACGGGTTTAGGAGAAAGAGAAGTTATTTTCCGCTGATGACATGTGAATGCAAACCTAACATCATTCAGCATGGCTCAATTTATGGCTTAACCATTTTTGGAGTGTGCACACTTGCTTTTGGGATTTAAGACAGCTATAACCTCATTGTAGTAAAGTAGAACAGACTTACTTTGCTCCGAGGGGTATTCCCGCGTGGGGAGATAAACTGACGGTCTCCTGTTCTGTATGTAATAGAAAAAAAAGTGAAATTTGTGGCAAAAGTTTGATTAAAAAGGAGATTTCCAGTTTGACCATTATTGGGTATCTATCTGTAAGCTGCTCTGTTCTTGCTTTTCTTTATTAGCTATGCTAAGGAAGGCCTTGGCAATTATAGGTAGCTTATGAATACATGTACACAAACAAATAAATATAAAGAAAGCTGCTGGAATGAGGCTGGCCAACTTCATGGTACCTTACAGAACTGAGCAGGCCAAAAGAGATGGGGTCTCTACGTGCAGAAAGTCTCCATTTTAAGTGGAATCCATCTTAAAACAAATCGCATGCCATTCTCAGGAATGAATAGGAAGGATGCAGGTTTGTGATGAAGCTTGGTTTATTTGTCAACAAATATCACAGCACTTTTCTACTCAAATATGCTCCCCTGGTTCACGGGGAGAAGGGAAATGCCAGATAAGCTGATATCTAAGATTGTGGAGACTTAGCAAGTGGCATTTTCCTTCTGCTGCCACTAGTCCCAGCCTTCCAATCCTTCCAGCAGTGTTTGTTGTTCCCAATGATCTTGCCAAAGTAGGTTTGGAGTGTGTGTGGTTTCTCAGAAACTAGCTCCAGAGCATGGACAGAGTATGAATTAAATGCTTAAAAGTTGTGTTGGACTGCTGCCTGGAAATGACAGATGTCACTGCCCGGTGAATCCAGAAGGCACCAGACAGAGGACAACTTCCTTGGAACATGACATACAGCCCACTATTTTTAATTAATAAAAAATAAATCTTAGAATAGCATAGAAGTAGAGTTGGAAGGGGCTTATAAGGCTATTGAATCCAACTCCCGCTCTGGTCGCATGACCTGAAGCAAACTCTTTTTTGCTTTTCAAATAGGCCTAGCCAGCACAACCATTGGCAGGGGCTGATGGAATTTGCAGTCCATCTTTTGGAGAGCCATTGTTTCCTCAGCCCTGTGACATAATATTGAGACAATTTCTCCAATATTTCCCTTCCCAAAGCAATAACACTATGTATGATAATGCTGTATTCTGCTGTTTGGACATTTTGAGCAAACTGTGCTATACAAATGGTTTGGCTGGCAGATTCCCCATCCCCCCATTTACAGTTTGAACCTGCCACCCAAACTTGTGTGCAAAGCAGGAAAACTTTAACACAACTCTTTGAAAACAAGCAAGATTGGTGTGGGACATGCCACATTAATCTGCCATGCAGGTCTCATTTGTGGATTTTAGCAATGCAATGTCTGACAGGTGGGTCAAACACACACCCTAGAATGAGAGGTGCAGGAATATGGCATCCCAGGAAAAAATTACAGAAAACCAGCTAGGAGGAGGCTAAATGCAGGCCTTTCAAAGACCAGGGCTCTACCGACTGGCAATGCAGGGGAAAGACAGACACTCACCGAAGCCTTACATACAGAGTCTGCATGGAATCGGCTGAAATTGCTTTTGTTGTAAACCGGCAACCCTTTCAGAAAGTCTGCCTAGGTTTAAAAAGGAAAATAAAGATTCCATGAAGATGCCAGGCAGGAGTGCGAGAAACCCCTTCCTTTGGCAAGCCCTGGCGCCTCCAAAGGAACCAGGCAGGGCATCTTGCCCGTCCTCCTCTTCCCCTTCAGCCTCAGGGAGCCCCCGCGGGGCCACATCACACCCCCGAGTGCTGCGCGTCTTCCTCCCCACGCCCAGAACCGACCTTCATCTTCTTAACAGGTCCCCCGCCCCCCAAAGTCTTCTCCCTGCGAGCCCCCACCATGCGGGACCAGCCCCAGCGAGACCCCGTCCCGCCCACCTGCCCCCCGCCAGGCTACGCGGGGCGCCCTCGGCTGCCCCACCCAGGGCGCCCCGGCGCCGCCAGCCCCCCCAGCTTCGCGTGGGAGCCCCAGCGGGAGCCCGGCCGTTCCGTTCAGGGGCGCCCCAGGCCCCCCGTCGGGAGCCCCTTCCGCAGGGGCCCCGGCTCCCCGCCGAGGGCCCCGCCGGGGCCCGCGCCCTCGGGAGGCGCCCACCGGGCCTCCCCGCCGCCCG